AGTGGCTTCTCTGCTGCATTGTAAAGGTTGGCTGCTCGGCACAGGTTCCATTCAGAGAATTAATGTAAAGCATTTTCTGATTGGATGAGGTGGGGAGTGTGACATCATTACCCTTTTCTCCTCCTCCTCCAGTCATAGAACACTTGGCATTTCTTTAGAAAATGCAAAGCATTCTCTCTGAATGTAGCCCGTGTCGATCCCCAGTGTTCAGAATGCAGCAGGGCAGTCAGTCAGCACAGGACCCAGAATGAAGTGAAGATTACTGGAGTAGCAGTGGCTGCTTCAGTGATTTCCATCTTCCAGGGGCATCAGCCAGGTGTGGCATAGACATAGTTACATTGGTCCAAGCTGGATCGATGTAACTATGTATAAAATATCCATACCTGGAATTATTCTTTAGGTTAAAAAAAATGCATCATTATTAGGCGATCTGTATTTGCCAGCAATACTAGCTAATTCTGTTTTCCTTTTAGCTGCACTGTTACACAATGTTGAATACACTGGAAGTCTAATGCTTCTTTAAAGAGCATAAATCCTGCAAGTGCTGACATGAGCCGAGCACCAGTAATTCGATTCTCCGTCAATAATTAGATTTATCACATAAAACAACTCTGCCCATCCATTATAGTTACCAGTATTTTTTCTGCCAGTTCTCAGGTCCCCCACCCCTACAGTGTCTTTCTTTCTCATGGCTGCATTGTATTTCATTCTATTAATAAAATTCTACCTTTTGTGTTCCTGGCTCCAAAAACGTGTGTCAGTCTGTTTGTAGAGGTTTCTTCCTGGACACACTAACAGCCTCCAATAGGAAACTGCATTTAAAGGTGTTTCCTACTGCCATTTGCTATTTTCTAATTGTCATTCAGTTTTTGGATCATTATATCTTTTTAAAGGGTTAATTCACCTTTAATGATATTTGCCAAAAACATCCCTATGCACTGTAGTGCTCTATTTTGTAAAATAATGCTTACTTCTTACAGAGGATCTTCAGTCTTAACGAAAAAAAGATTAAAAGTCATCAGCAACAAATACTACAGCTGCTAATTTTTAATAAATACACACTTACCTGTCCTGGAATCCAGCGCTGTCCTCACCTGGGCCAGTTCTTCGCCAGACTTCTGGTCCCTGGTGCAGCCATCTTGGACATGCTTCACTGCTGGCTTCTCACTGCGCATGCGTGAGTACAGCTGCACTCTCTCTACAGACCCACAGCTTCCTGGGACCTGTTACATGTCCCAGGTGGTTTTAGGCAGGTGAAGGGAGGTGGGGAGCCAAATTCTTCTCTGATTGCCTAGGCATTCAGAGAGGAAGTGAAGTGGGTAGTCAGAAAAAAAAACACATCCAAAAGTAGTAGGGGGAGGGAAACAGCTTTGCTTAAAGCTGCTTATTTCATCACCTTCCCTTCTCTGTCCTGCAGATGCCAGGACATACAGAGTATTAATTCATGGCCCCGGAGACTCATGTACGAGCATTTGGCTTTGTTCCCTACGCATGCATGTGCAGTCTGCTTTCTCTTGGAGGAGAGAGAACTGCACATTTGTGGGTAGGAAAAGAATCCGATTGTGAGTTTTTGGGGCAGTACATTCAACACTCACTACATCCTGCCATCTGCAGGATGGAGAGGGAAGGCAATGGAATAAGCAGCTCAAAAAGTAAGCATTATTTTAGAATGTGAGAGCTCTGCATATTGAAATACTGAGGATGCTGTATTGCATAGGGATGATGTGGAAAAGTCATTAAAGGTGTCGGGCAGGGCTAGCTGTATAGTACCGAATGCGAAGTAACAGCACACTCACACTCAAAGGTAGTTTCACAGTATTGTATTTGGTTATCTTCAGGTCTGAAAATAACACTTGAACTAGCAGAGCGCAGAAATGAGGTGCAGTATCTCTAGTGCAGGGGTGGACTGACAACTCATGGGGGGCCCCCGGGCAATAGGGGATCATTGGGCACCTGTGTCCTCGCCCACACCCAAAAAAGCCTATGAAAAAGCCAATGAAAGGTACCAGGCGCATCTCATGGGGCCCGCTACTGACCCCGGGCCCTCGGGCAGTGCCCGAGTGCTCAAATGGTCAGTCCGCCCCTGCTCTAGTGGTAACGGGTCCAGTAGCTCAGTAATACTCAGTAACAGGTTCATTAATAAACAGTAACAGGTGCAGTAACAGTCAATAACAGGTACAGTAACACTAAGTAACAGGTTCAGTAATACACAGTAACAGGTGCAGTAACACTTAGCAGCAGGCTCAGTAATGCTCAGCAACAGGTGCAGTAATACTCAGTAACAGGTGCAGAAACACTTAGTAGCAGGCTCAGTAATGCTCAGTAACAGGAGCGGACTGACAACTCAAGGGGCCCCCGGGCAATAGGGGATCATGGGGCCCCTGTGTCCTTGCCCAAACTCAAAAAAGCCTATGAAAAAGGTACCAGGGGCATCTCATGGGGCCCCCTACTGACCCTGGGCCCTTGGGCAGTGCCCGAAATTTCCAAATGGTCAGTCCGCCCCTGCTCAGTAACAGGTGCAGTAATACTCAGTAACAGGTGCAGTAACACTTAGCAGCAGGCTCGGTAATGCTCAGTAACAGGTGCAGTAACACTCAGTAACAGGTGTAGTAATACACAGTAACAAGTTCAGCAATACTCAGTAACAGGTGCAGTAATACTCAGTAACACGTTCACTAATACTCAGTAACAAGTTCAGCAATACTCAGTAACAGGGGCAGTAACACTAAGTAACAGGTTCAGTAATTCTCAGTAACAGGTGCAGTAACACTTAATAACAGGTTCAGTAATACTCAGTAACAGGTGCAGTAACACTTAATAACAGGTTCAGTAATACTCAGAAACAGGTGCAGTAGCACTCAGTAATAGGTTCAGTAATACTCAGTAACAGGTGCAGTAGCACTCAGTAACAGGTTCAGTAATACTCAGTAACAGGTTCAGTAATACTTAGTAGCAGGTGCAGTAATACTCAATAACAGATGCAGTAATACTCAGTAACAGGTGCATTAATATTCAGTAATAGGTTCAGTGCTAATCAGTAGCAGGTGCAGTAATACTCAGTAACAGGTTCAGTAATAATACAATACCCAGTAGAGCAACCACTCCACTCAGGCACAACACGGTACCCAGCTGAATGCTACACAAGCCTTAGGCATAGGAATGGAGGAGCAGTATTGCTAAGCTGGCTGATACCAAAAGGCTGTATTCCAGTGCAGCTGTACGGCGGTTTGTCCTCAGGCACAGTGGCACAGTGAGTTGGTCTTACATTTGCAGGAGGGATGGCAGGCTGGCAGGTGGCTGACACAGGCGATGGCTACAAGAGGCCAAGTGGTGGCAGAAGTACTGGAGGTCTGTGCTAGCTACAACACACAGCAGTGTCCCTTACTTTGTCCCTCCTCACGCAGTCTCTAAATCCTATTTCCTATCAATCGGGGTCTCTCTACATATACTAACCACTCACAAAGGCGCACCAAACACAGCGAGGCACTGCTACTTATTAGCACTGTCCCAACTAGATGGCAACAGAAGGTCACTGAGGACTGGCAGTGTACACTTGGACTGCTGGTCTCCATTGTGATCCCTACGGAGGCTGCAGATGAAAATGATTCACCCTAGAACTCCACTCCATTCCCGGGGGGTGCCAAGGTGCCACTTGGTAGCTGGAGTAGGAACTATACCTTGCCAATAGGTGAACTAACCCTTTCATTAAAGACATAAAAATTAAACAATTTTGGCAACAAAATATACTTATGATGTTTACTGTAGAGACCTAATCTTGTTTGGAAGTTATGGGGACACCAATAAAACTCACTGGAGTTTTTGTCTTTTTCCATTGACTGTGCAAGACATGTGGTATCAGCTAGGGAGGTAGGTGTGTTTGGTTTGCATTCCTGACTGACAAGCGCTGCACTACAATCTGTGAAAGCACAATTTCCTTCTTTGAACTCCTGCTTTAGGGTTTTAAAAAAACTATCCTTCTAGTATAGCTCCCCAGATCATTCGACCGTGACGTTCCAGTACTAGTTTAAGGTAGGAATAACTTTGGTACAATTTTCTTTTTAACATACAGAAATATTGGGTACAATTGTGAGAAATAAAAAGGTTGAAGTGTATGTAAACCCTTAGGCTCCATGCACACTGGGCATTGTAATAACGCTGGTAACGTTAGCTGTATAAAGTCACACATTAAAAACGTGAGTTTTTCTGCGTTTTTGCATTAGCATTTAGCAGCGTTTTTTCTGCATTTGCTGTTTTTAGCTTTTTCTTTTACCCCCCCCCCACACAAAAATGTCCAAAAAAGCTGGTTTGCAACTTTTTACTGCGTTTTACCAAGCTTTTCTGCGCATGCCTCTAGAAACCCACTGGCTCTGGGTTTTTTTCCAGCCAAAATGTACCTGCGAAAAAAAAAATATTGATTACAGTCTATGTGTGCATGGACACATAGGATAACATGCTGGGGAGTTTATTGGCTGTAGAAAAAAACCGTCAAAAGCCAAAAACAGCAGCTGTTAAAATGTCCTGTGTGCATGAGGACTAACAATGAACTTCTCTCAATATGTCATTTACATTTATTTGTTATGTCTGCGCAAGTACAAAAAATACCTGCCGATCCTGCCAAAAACAATGAGCTGAAGACTTCCTGTACTCTCTGCCTGTGCTGTACTCTTACCAGTTATCTTGGTCATAGCTCTCACTTTCTTTCTCTGTGGACTATAGAAAACCTCCTCCCTATGTTATGGAAAAAAGAGGGGAAAGTGTTTTGTAGTCTTGTCCTATGATGACCCTATAGGACAAACTCTAATATTTAGCTAATACTTATCTGCCGTGAATCTGTACAATGTCTGCAGTGCATGCTCAATGCAGTGTACAGAATGGAGCCAGGTGCCAAGACAACGTGTGGGAGATATGTCATCAATGCCTACCCGATGGATGAAGCTAGCAGGACCCAGAAGAGGACATGGCACTGCAGATATAAAGTGAATGTGGGGATCTCTATCCTCACCAGGGGCGGACTGACCATTTGGAAACTCGGGCACTGCCCAAGGGCCCAAGGTCAGTAGGGGGCCCCATAAGATGCCCCTGTTACCTTTTTAATAGGCTTTTTTGATTTTGGGCAAGGACACAGGGGCCCCATGATCCCCTATAGCCTGGGGGCCCCATGAGTTGTCAGTCCGCCCCTGATCCTCACAGCAATTTAGGAGAGCACATCAAAGGTCAGTGTGTTATAATGTGCAAGTATGAACAGTATGGCATATGTTAGTTGTCCTCACCACACTTTACATCTGCTGTAAGTTAAAGTGACACTAAGTCTAGGTTCACACCTATGTGTTATCCACAGTGTTTTGCACAAACGCACAGCAGTAAATTTAACATGATTTCCTATGGGGCACGTTCACATCTCCGCATTTTCACCTTGTGTGTTTTTTGGAAAGGGACTTTTTTAAATGCAAAAAGTTGCGTCTTTGGTTCTATAGACTTCAATGGAGACGCTGCAGAAAAGCATGTAGTGCATTTTTGCTGCATTGTTTATGCGTTTTTGACACATTTTTGATGCGTTTTAATCTGTATAGCAAAACCATCAAAAATGTGCCAAAAATGCAAAACGCACTGCAGAAACAGATCGAACACAAACTGCATAGGTGTGAACCTAGCCTAAATGATATCCTTGTTCTCCAAAATGAATCTCCATACAAATCCACCATTTAATGGGCCTGCTATCTATTTTCATGTGTTTTCTGCCTCCCTGTAATATCTTCTTTAAACTCCCAAACCTCTCCATTTCCTGCTCAGTTTGGAACATGTTATTTGTAGTCTTGTGCACTGCTCTATGCACACTACACATCCCAAAGGCCATAGTCCATCTTGGGAGCAAGCAAGAGAGGGTGGCTACGTTTCTACATACAGTGGGACCATGGAGAACAAATGTAGCCATGCTTTAACAGAATCAAAGCAGCAAAAAAAGAAAGGAATTTGGAGATTTGAAGGGGGCTGAGACCAATAGAAGGTACATTTTGGAGATAAAGTATATGTAAACCCTCACCTTGTAAAACAATCTATTCAGTTTAAATTAAAAATGAAAAGGCAAAACATTTGTGTATAGATATAAAAAAATTGTAAATCATTTTTCCCTGTTTTGTAAGTGATTACATACCATCTAAGCGCTTTATACAGCTGAGAACAGAGAGCTGGGGGAAGAGAAACAGCAACACACTGGTCTTCCCAGTGAATAGCACACTGGGCAGAGCACACTCAGTTCCCAGGACAGCTAGAGAATTGATCACACTGTGCTCTCATGCCTAGTGTGGTCAGATTTAAATAGGAAAGCAGAGGGACTAGCAGGAACACCACAAAGAAAACAATACAAAGAGAACAATGTACTTACAAGTACACGATACAGCAGGCACATATCAGGAATATGAAATGTTGGTTTTACATACTCTTTAAGAAACATATTTGAATACAAATGTTTATAAACTAAAGTGTCATGTCAAGCAGCATTATGTTAAGCATACATTAGCCTCAGAGCGACTGTAATGATCATTCTCCTTGCCAAACATCTTTGAAGAGAAAAGGGGGTTTGTATAATCTCCAGTTTTGATAATAAGTATTTAGCAGAGTTGTTCTTCACAGTAATAAGGAGCTCTAAAGAACTATTTAATTTTGTTGCTGAAGTTATTTTATTTACAATATCTTGGTTGTTATATAATTTGGAGAAGCAAGCAGGATCATGAGCCTGCTTGCCATGAGAAATTGCCTTCAACAAATGAACAAAATAATTGGATAGGGAACAAAGTTCCAAGTAAATCAAAGAATTACTGTGAATTAAACAAGCTAGCACACTAAAAGAGTATAAAATACAATGTCCCCGGAATGAAACATCACTGCGTTCATTTTTACTATTCAATTACTCACCCTGACAATCTACAGTCCATCCACATATTACAAGTTTAATCAGCATGAACCTTCTGTGCTTTGGTCATAACATCATTCTTTGCACGTATAGAAACCTATTTGATGGACTTGGATTCTGGGTAATCTTATTCTTGGCTACAAAACACAAATGTGTAGTTGTAGGTTGTATTGTTATGTTTCCATTTAAATTTGAATACAGGTTGACAGTCTATAACATTTTTACATCATTCTCAAGGTTATATGTAGGTTAGCATAGGAACGGTGTATTGTAATATAGAGTTTAGCCAATAGGATTCTGTATAGGTCCCCCTAATCTATTGATGGCCAACCAGTTGGATTTTGGGGCCTCAGCTCCTCTGAATGGACATACAGATATAGCTTCTTAGCTCACATGGTAATCAAGGAAATGCAGGCATAACAGTGGCTAAGTGGTTAGCACTTCCACCTAGCAGCACTAGGGTCATCAGTTTGAATCCCAACCATGGCACTACCCACCTGGAGTTTGCATGTTCTCCCTGTGTCTGTGTGAATTTCCTCCCACACTCCAAAGACACGTTGGTAGGTTAATTGGCTCCTATCTAACTTGGCACTTGTAGGTGTATGTATTATTATTATACAGAATTTATATAGCGCCAACAGTTTGCGCAGCGCTTTACAAGATGAAGGTAAACATTACAGTTACAATACAAAAGGAAACAGAGGGTCCTGGCTCGTTAGAGCTTACAATCTATGAATGTGAGTTAGGGACTGTAAGCTCTTTTGAACAATATATCCTTGCTTTTACTAACAATTAATTTTCAGTTGTAGCATTTTGATGTGTAAAGAAGGAAAATGTATTACATTGTGGCTTAGCCAGTGTGCATGAGTTAAGGAGTGTTTGGATCCTAGTCCGAACTCACCTGAGCAATCCCTCTAGGAAGTTGTCATTTGTACTGAGATACTTATAAGAAGCCAAGGCGTTCTCAGGCCCACTGCCATATGTATACTAGGAGGGTGTTTTTGTGCAGCTATGAAGCAGGAAATGCCAGCCACTTATTATTGGACCAGTAGAGTGACAGCTTTCTGGCAGGATTGCTCAAGTGGGTTTGGACTAGGCTCCAATCACTCCTGAGCTCATCCTGATGTAGCAGAATCCTAGTTTCGAGTAGGCTGTTAGGTAAATTTAATTCAACTCTTCTGTAAACAGTAGCGCAGGGGTTGATTACTTAAGGCTGCTCACTGTTTCACAAGCTGCTGTTCTGCTACTATCCCCTGTCTTCTAGAGGCTTCTGGAAACATAATGGGAGGGGGTGCAGAACTGGAAGCCTGAATATTTATGGAACTCCAGGAAATCCCTGGGGAGGTGTGCCCAGAAGGTGGAGGGAGAGCCCATAAGTAGACTGAGGCCTGAGTAGCAAGTGCAATGCTCCTGGGTCCAGTTCTGCAGGGGGAGACCCCTGTGCAGGGGCTCTACCCCTGGGGCAGAAGACTGGGAGGAAGCCAGCCTGTCGACACAGAGGCCCAGCTAGGCTTTGCTGGGGGAGCCTATTTTCAAGTCCTGGTCCATAGATCCAGTTGGGTCAGGAGAAAGTGCATGGGAGAGAACAAAGTGCAAGCTGTGGGAGAGAGCCCAAATTGTCCAGGGGCGATGTGAGTCTAAATCTCCTTCACTTGGAAGAGCCTGGTGGATATCGGCAAGAGGCAACCAATGATCCTGTGAGTACAAGACCTCAGTGCTGCAGAGTGTGACAGTGTGATGCTCTGCAACTCTGAGAGGACTACAGGTCGCAATCAGCCTAGAGATCCAATGGGACATTTCTTTTGCAAGTGCATAGCAGCCACAAGTTAAGCAGTCCTCACGTTTTAAAGTTTTGCAATTCTGTTCCATGCTCCTTGTCCCTATTCAAGTTAATTGTTCCCCAATAAAAAATACAAAAACAAATCCCTAGACTGATAATTGAGCCGGAGAAAGAATGGCAAAAATTCTATGTGCCTGTCTGTGAGTACTGTAAAAGGGGAAATAGGACCAAATTCACCAGCGGCTCTTTCTGGGGTGTGCTACACCTACTTACCAGTTCCTAGATGTAGGGACTGCATTAGTTTTCTTTTTTTCCCCTTGATTTTCATCTTGTGATCCTGCCAGTAACACACTTCCATTCCTAGGATGACAATGCTCATGCACAATACTGTATCTATGGAAGTACGGTGTTTTCACAATAGAGTACAAAGAGTTATAGGACTACAGAACACCTTTCCTCTTCTCATCTCCCTAGCATAGGAGAGATGTGTTCTGTAGTCCACAGAGGTGAACTGGGCAAGGATAATAACAATATTTGAGATATGGCTGTAAGCCCAGAATCTCTGTTGCCCTTTTTTAAGGACTTCTGAAAAAAAAATGACTAGACTGTGGAGTCTAATGGAAGCTGGCTACAGTACTTTTCCTGTTCTCTTGCTTGTGTTGGGAAAAACAAGCACATGCAAAATGACTTTTATCACCTCCATGAATGGTTCTTTTTTATGGTTTAATTGTTTCTGGGTGCTCTCTACAAATGAGATTCTGTGTGGCAGATAACAGATGAGTTAAAAATGATTCTGCAAACTCCCATTATCACATTAATATAATCTCCCACAAAGGAGAGAAATGATACCATGACACTTTTTTTTATTAACACAATAGCCAATTAGCATTTTGATTAGCACCCCAGGATTCTGCAAAGAACATAAAATATCAGAATTTTACCCAGAGAAAAATGGAAGTTTTGCAGATTGCTCCCTTATTACATGGAGAAGAGCTGAACTGTACAATCTATTTCAGAATAATGATGCTGGATTGTTAAAAGCCTCTGTACCCGCTAATCATTAGTCAGTTACTTTCTAGTACATCTGAACCTAAAAAACTGGCATGGATGTCAAAGAGAAGCAAGGCTCCAAGACCTGTTGACATGCAGTGAACTATAGATTTTTTTTAGCCAACCGTTACCTAAAACATTTAAGGCTTTTTAGCAAAATCCAGACTATTATCAGTGCTCTTTTTTCCTTTTAAGAAGCTCAATAAAGGTGAAACATACCAGATAAAACTGCTGAATTGTGCAGCTGTAGAGAAATAAATGACTTCTATTCTTTGTAAAGGTTTTTAAAGCCAAACATCCGTCTCTTTGTTAGTGTAAATGAACAGTCTGCTAGCGTTTCATACACATAAAAAAGCGAATTATAAACATACTGCGCAAACATTGCATGATATAAGAAAGGAGGTGGATCAAACAGGTTCTAATAGCTTGCTAATCCAGCTTTTGTAATGTTACGATTAAGCTATGGCTTCTAT